TGGCAAGCCACTCCCATCCAGTCATATGGGTGGCAAGCCACTCCCACAAAGGAGGCCACACCCACAGAGTAGGTTCGAACAATTTTTGAAACCCACCACTGGTGATGATGCTAGTTTGACACCCCTGATCTAAATGTTCAACCACACTTACCCAATTGCTGCACAAAGTCCTCCATGTGTAAGTTGAGAGAATGGAAGAAAGCCCCCCCACTTTCGTAGGACTGCTTGTTGACTGTAACTGTGGCCAGGCGACCTCCCACCACAGCCTTTTCATACACGTCCATCTGGACCTGTGGCCCAAAGTGCTGCTGCAGGAAATAAGCCACCGAGGAGCCGCCAACTCCGGCCCCCACCACAGCTGCCAAGGCAAAGCAAGTGTGTTAAGAACCATCATAAAAAGATCAACCAATAGATACAGTTTCCCAGGAAACAGAGGACTGCTGAAACCACATCTCGGTCTAACAGCAGGGATATAATAAAATAATAAAGAGAGCCAGTTTGCTCTGGTGCTTAAGACACCAGGCTAGAAAGCAGGAAACTAAGTTCTAGTCCTGCCTTAGGCATGAAAACCAGCTGAATGACTTTAGGCCAGTTACTCTCTCTCTCTGCCCCACCCAGCTCACAGTGTTGTTCTCACGGGGAAAATAGTTGGAAGAAGGCGTATTGTGTGTGTATTTGCTGCTCTGAATTATTTATAAAAAGTAATAAACGAGGGATATAGAAAAGAATAAAACAGTTTTTCTGGTTAAGTCTCAGCCGTGGTGGCACTGTGATTAAAATGCAGTACTGCAGTGCTGACTGCCAGTAGTTCGATTTCCAATTGAACTTCAAAACTGGTATCTGACTGTGAAAACTCGTGGCACGACAAAACCGCTGTCAGCTGGAGGAAGAGGGCTACCTTTGGAGGCAAAGAACGAAGCATGTAGAACGCCCTTCTGTCGCGGCGGTAGGGTCGTGTTTTTCTTAGCGCTTCGGACGCCGCGGATTTGCCTCTGCACTTATGTCGGCGTGGATAAGGGCATCGCGGTTTTGTGGTGGAACCGTGAAAATTATTTCATGGTTAGACCATGCTTCCTCAATCTCTCAGTGTGTTGGGACTGCCATTCTGAATTTCTAGCCAGCCCAGTCAATTGCTGACAATTCTGGGTAGGGTAGATCACGTGTACCTGACAGGCATCAATCATAGGGGAGAAGGGATGTGCTACCATCAGCTGCCCCAGCAGAAGGGTGGAAATCTGCCCTCTGGTGTCTCTGTCAGCACAATACACACACCCACAGCATTCATAAAAAAGAAGCAAGGATGAAATATACACACCGACCCTACAATT